GTACGTCACCATGTAATCTGTAGTGCAAAACAGCTGATGAATCCGATATTATTATTACAAGGCGATATTTGCAGCTTCTTCAACAAGGCATCTGATGATTAGTCTAAAAGGCGAATGAAGAAACTCTTCCACTGTCTTCGAAATGAGTCAATGCACCTCTGTTTCACGTGATTTGGATCATCTCCCTCTTGCAGTTGAGCGCTTGGGTCGAGTCTGAAAGATTCGTTATTCACCAGCTTGACTGTTTCTTTGAAACAGCTATGGTGTTCCGCCTTTTATTGCAAGTGTCGACTGATATATGATCCAGATTCTTGAGCAACCGTTAAATCTGAGCGTAATGCATTTCTTCCATGCTTTGAAAATACAGAGGAGCTGAGAGGAGGTAGTAGTATGAGCATTTTGCAAATCTGAGCTAATAGATTAAGAAGACTGCAGTCTGTCGGTTGAAAGAAGATCATCATTATGGACAGCCATGGAACCTTAAATTTTAACTATTTATATTGCCTGAAGATGATGCAGGCAAGGGAAGTTGAATGTCTTCACATCGAGGACCACGTTAAGTGAAACTCACCAATCTCTGACTTGTCGTTAGTCTTTGGCGGAGAATCGTTGTTTCTGAACGATGATTCAAAGTAACCTGTCCAAGTAAATGTTCAAAACTGTTTACAAAACGCAGAATCGTAATTTAAAGACTTCTGCCGCTGCGATGCCTCATTTAGGTCAAATGCGATACGTCTATTCGCTGCGAATGTAAAATGCCACTGATTTGTAACCAGCTTATGTTTTTGGGTATGTACTCCTTTAAACATACCATTCCTCTATGATGCACACAGCTTGTAGAACTAATGCTGTTTTTCAGTGACTACAAGGTATTTGTATATTTGAGTTCAACGAATCACTCCCTTACGGTGTGGTATACTGGAAGAGTGCCTAAGAGATGGACTTCAAACACAGCTTGTCAGGGGTTATTCCTTCAGAAGAGCAATCTTTGCCCTTACCACGAGTTCCCTTAACCAAGAAATTTGCCACACATCGCTTAGACCTGAATTTCTGACTGACATTGTTGAGTGACACAATTTGATCTGAGAGGTCCCGAGTTCGAGTCCCGGTCTGAATCACTAGCCTTCTTCTTTACGAGATTGATAAGGATTGAGTACCAATCTGTGGGGAAAACACGGAATATACTCTGCTAGTCACATGACCACTGTTTACTCTTCTTTTAGCACAAGGTACTCGTGATTGATGACATGAAGATTGAGTTCAGCGCCCCCCCCCACGCCCACGACCAACTTAATGAAACAAGGGACGTGAGAACGAAAGTGTAAAACAATGCCGACATTCCAGCGGTTACAAACGTTCATTTGGAAGAAGGGTGCTTTTCAGTCGCTCACTTTGAGAAACGACGTCCCCATCGCCGCAAAATCCACTTTCGCTAAGGCTTCGACATCGGCTTTCGAATGATGACCGTCTTGATATGACGAATTGTTTATCCATTGTCTGACGACCACCACAGTCAGTGCGCCGCGCCTGTTTAGATTTCCAATCTTTCGTCGTAATTCAATTATATG